GTTTTCAGGCTGTCAGGCTGAAACAGACACGGGGCCTGTAGGCCCTGGTTTCAGGCTAAAAGGCTGAAAACAGACACGGGGCCTGTAGGCCCTGGTTTTCAGGCTTTCAGGCTCAAACTGACACGGGGCCTGTAAGCCTTCGTTTTCAGGCTTTCAGGCTGAAAATGACACGGGCCTGAAAATGGCCCGTGCAGCCTGTTGCAGGCGCAGCATGTAACACCCCCCCTTCCTTATGAAGTCAAGCCGGGCCGGGGGCGAAGCTGATGGTCTGAAGGTGGAACAGGAACGAGGGTGCTGCGTGGAGCCGAAGATACCGGCTTGCCTTGCATCAGTACACAAAGTGTACCAAGTATTCGGTCGATCTGTTGTCGTAGCTGCGGTAAATGCAGCCGTTCGGCGGCACGGCACCGACCTCAAGAATGATCTCGTGAGAGATCGGCCGATCCGGCACCACACCGGAAGATGTCGGTGAACTCGTCAAGCAACCGCACCACACGGGGGTCCGAAGACGAGGCCGTGGGGGAAGAATTGACTTGGCCGTCACCACTTGGCACCGGTTCGAAGGGTGCGGAAGAGGAATAGTACACGGCACTTCGGCGCCGAAGGCGTCAGGAACGCTAAGAGTCCGCTGATGGAAGTTGACCGTGTGATCCGCACTTGCAAGCCAAGGCATTCTCGAAATGATATCGAAGTCCGTGTCCAAAATGTCGAACGTCACCGGTTTGCATGCATAAGGTGCGAAATACACCGGTGCGGCCTCGAAGTAACGGTCGATAAGTTGTTGCGTGCTTCCGTCTGCCAACTTGACCGCCGTCGGGTTTGCCTTCCTCCGAACTTATGCGCCAAGGCCAGCCCTTTGCATAAAGGCTTGGCTCATGAAATTGCGAGTCGCTCCGCTATCTAGCAAAACGCTGCAGGACGCTTGCCCAACTTAGATGCGGATATAAAGGAGCGGTGCGTTGTTGTCATCATACTTCTGCGTGCGAAACTCGCGGGCCACCTTGGTAACATACGCAAGGATGTCCCCCACCGCGACTTCGTCATCCGTCGGCGAAGTTGGTGGTGCATAGAAGGATAAGTACGTGTGAAGATGAGCGCATAGTGCTGCGCATTGCGGTCCCGGCAAGCAGCTCATGGTCGGGAGAGGAAGCCATGCGAAATCCTCAGACGTGAGCGGGTCCAATACCTCTATGTTGAACTCACGCGCCGAATCCCGTGAGGAACCACTTGAAGACGATAAGTCACCGCTGCCGGACGGAGAAGATGCCGCACACACGTCTTGTCCTTGAGCATGAGAACCCAGCGTAGGAACGAGCCAGGCAGCATAGTCCTCATAAGAATATAGAAGAGGAGGACTATCGACTTCCGCATGTGCCTCGGAACGAAGGTCGGTCACTCGCGAAGAGACCGGTTCTGAAGACGTCGAGAGTGTAGTCGAGTCACTCTCGATGGTGCTTAGTTTCCCAATTGGCCGTAGTGGGTCCATGGGGCTGAAGCTGCTGCGCCGGGCACGGGGATAAATGTGGTGTTTGTCTTCATCTTGCCGCGTCCTCGGCTTTTGCCGGAGCAGCCACCATCCCGGGCAGCTGCGAGTCTGTCTCCTTCATTGGCAGACGCGGCCTCGCTGGTTTTGTCAAGCGGCGTTGCTGCCACGACCACGGCCACTCTTGGCCGATGCTGGTCTCTGCTCGGGCCTGGCCCAGACGAACGCAGGTTCTTGGCCTCCTTGTTCGTGACAATGATCTGCGCGGCCTTGTCAAAAAGTTCCGCCGTTGTCGTCAAGGTGTCCTCGACGTGAGTCAGGGCATTGCTTAATGTCGGACATGACCTTGAGATGAAGTAGTAGCGGATGGCTTTGAAGCCCATTTGGATGTCTGGGACTGACGTCAAGCGTTGGTACTCGGCGATCCAGTCGGTACTCGGCAGCGTGCCTTCCTCGAAGACCATGAGCTTGTCCATAGCCGGGCGGCTCGACTTGGAACCGCTTGTGCCACGCTGCCTTCAGATCATCCCAGCTGATCTGGGTGTGCAAGTCCGTAGCTACCACTCCGTACTTGGACAAGAGATTTTGTTCAACCAAGCCTGGCACACGCCCCATGAGCGAGAGTATAAGTATGCACGGTGCTTGTGTTCTTTGACGTTGTGTAGCTGTAGCGTGAGCTCGAACTTACGAAACCATGGAACCGGATCTGTCTTCATCGAGTCGCAGAAGATCTCCTGCCCGTCAAACTTTGGAGCTGTCTCGCGTGGTTCCGAACTCGAGGTATTGGCGGTGGTACAGATCCGCTGCTCCAATTGTTGCGTTGCGGTCTGCTGTAACTGCACGTCGTCCTTGAGGGAGCCGATGTCCATCTCCAATGCTGCGAGGCGATCAGAGGTGTTGGAAGAGCTTGCATCGGGGGCGGCGACAGGTCGCTGCTCCAGCTGCTGGAGGCGGCCTTGTACTTGAGCTAGCGAGTCGTCGAGGCTGTGGATATCCTCCTGCTGTGTAATACAGGTTGCCAGAAGGTCTGTGAGATGGGAGAGGAGGAGAGCGATCTTGTTTGCGCTATCCTCTAGCTTGCCATTCTCGCCCTCGGTCCGCCATTCCGCTGCCATTGTGAGCAAAGTCTGCTCTCCGCTAAATATCTTCTCACGACGCTGGTTTCTTTCTTCATTGGTAGCCCTTGTTGCTGCCTCGTCATGCTGGCGCTGTTGTTCAAGTGCCAACCGACGTGCCTGCTCGGCGTCCTCTGCCTTCTTCTTCGCTGCTGCCGCTGTGTCATCTGCCCGTTTCTTTGTTTCGGTACTCTAGGCCAGCATCCGGGCGTGATAGGCCTCGTCTACTTCTCCGGACCTCTGGTCCATGACGACTGTTTGTGAACGCAACAGCATAGACCAGGCCGGGGCCTGCTGACGTGGTATTCCCTGCTGTTGACGTGGCACTGCTGACGTGGCACTGCTGACGTGTCCTGCTGACGTGGCCTGCTGACATAGTCTGCTGACATGGCCTGCTGACGTGGCCTGCTGACGTGGCAACTCACCAATGCCGCCGCAGGGGGTACTCGGAGACAGGTAGAGAAGGTAAGGCGTGAGATGACAACAACATAGGTGGGGAGGGGTGGGTGGGATAATCGCCCAGATAACGCCCAGATAACGCCCAGATAACGCCCAGATAAGGAGCCACTAATCGAAAAAAGAAAAGTTTGAACTTTGCAAAAAAAAATTTCGAGAAAAATAAAAATCCCGAGTTTTGCAAGTTCAGTAGGTCTCCCAACCTCCCTTGAAGTTCGAACTATCAATGAGAAAAAAAAATTCGAACTTCAGACTGCAAATGATTTATAGAACTGACTAACAGAATCCTAGAACTGTGAAAAAAAAAATTCCGAAAAGAAATTCGCAGTTTGGAAAATAATACTGCAGGAGGGATTTCCCGTACCGTTTTCAGAAAAACGAATTTCGAAAAGGAAACTATTCCGAATTTCTAAGTAACGGGAAATGCAACAGGAAATCAAAATTTTCGAAAAGAAGAATATTTCAGATTTTCAACAACGAAATTTCGAATTTTCAGAAGAAAAACGAAAATGGAAATTTCAGATGTTGCGCTATTGCGATTTTCCACAACAGAATAGCGAGCAAATAAAATCCAAGAAAAGAAAAACAAAATTCAATTTTCGGCAGTAAGGTCAAAATCGTGATTTTGGGGGCTAACTAGTGTGTTCTAATCAATCAATAAAGACTAATCAGCTACCTAGTCCCCACACACGTGTCAGATCAGGTTGTCCTGATTCACGTGCGGTGCACCGATACCAACTGTTACATGCCCGGTAGGGCGATGTACATATAAACCGAGGATCCGCAATGTGATAAAAAGGACTGAATGGACAATGCTGTGCAAGTGGAATCTCAACTAGCAATGTGCATTCCGATACATACAAAATGGTGTCGAATAGCGCAGGGAAGATGTAGATACAAGACCTGACCTGACCGAGACTGACCTTTATCAGGTAAACCAGCGGTTGTCTTCGGGTTCTTGATAAGAAAATCTGGCTTTGTACTGTTTTTGTGGACGACCTCTACCTCCTGTTTTGAATACATCCTCACCTACTATGCGATCAATGTCGTACCTTCCATCCATATCCGGAGGGATCATGGACCTCCGTGATGGGAACTGCTGACTCGCAGTACAAGGCAACAACTTTGACGCATGAAAAACTGGGTAGGTGTGGAGGTGTGCTGGAATCTCTATTGTGTAGGATGGTCCATCTTCTCCGCCCTTAACTTCTAGGACTGGCCACGGTCCTCTATAAGCAGGTAACAGCTTTTGTGAGATGTTCTCCTCAGGAGCAAACTCTTTAGACTTGACCCAGGTTAGATCGCCTACTTGGAACTGCGATGGGCGACAATATTTATTGGCTTGTTCTATCATCCTGTGTTGGGCCTTCCTGAGGTTCTCTACGGTAGCAATCTCTTTCTCGTGCTGTAGCGCAAACTCCCTAGTACCGGGCGGTAGCCTCTGGATCTGATCCCGGCTCAGTCCCTCAAACGGCCTACGTGGTCTAAAGGACTTATGTAGTTCGTTGGGAGTGCGACAGGTTGCTAAGTGCACGTTGTTGTTATGATCAGGTCTAATATACATTCTAAGAACTTGTTGCAGGATCTTATTCATATGTTCGGTCTGACCGTTGGTCTCTGAATGGCGGCCAGACGACATCAACAACTTAGAGCCATAGACTCTCATCAGTTCCTGCCTGTTCTGACTAGTGAATCTGGTGTCTCTATCACTAACTATGGACAGAGGAAGACCATGATCACTGACCCAATGATCGAAGAACTTCTCTATAACTAAATCTGTGCGTGCCTCTAAAGGCAAAGGGACAAAAACTGCATACTAATCTATCAACTATAACCATGACTTGGCTCTTGCCATGCCTACTCCTAACCCATGCGTCCATAAAGATGGACACAGAATCTTCGGGTCCTGCGGGAATAGACCAGGGTCAGAGAAGACCAAGAGGGGCTCACATAGTGGTCTTATTGGCATACTTTACAACCGTTACGTACTCTATGCAGTCAGCCTTCATGCCAGGCCACGTATATGCGCGAATGAGGTTGGCTAATGTCTTTTACCAATTCCCCTAGGATCATGCTACGGATCTCTTCACTGTTGAGAACCCACAAACGGTCGGCTACATTAGTCTTCTCAAATAATAACCCATCTGCAGTGCGGTAATCTGGTTCAGTCTCTGGGGCCTCCTTAACTCTCTTGAGCAGGTCGATATAAATAGGGTCCTGCACGTACGCCTCTTTGACTTTCTGCTGCAGGTCTCTGCCTATGTCCAGATAGTGTACTATCGCTCCAAAGTAGTCGAATCTCCTACATAGAGCGTCCACAACTACATTGTACTTTCCTTTGGCTGGCTTGAGCTCGAAGTAAAACTGATCTATCTCTCCGGCCCACCTAGTAAGCTTAGGTGTCATCTTGGCATGCGTCTTCAACCACCTCAATGTTTCGTGGTCTGAACAGACTTTGAAGTGCCTCCCAAGCAAGTGATGCTTCCCGTGGTCTAATGCTTGCCTGAGAGCGTAGAGTTCTCTCTCATAGGTCGATGCCACTACCTTTTCTTAAGGCATCCTAGCGGACATGAACTCTACGGGTCTATACCCATTACCATCATCTTGCTGTAGAACAACACCTGTACCATACTAACTAGCATTGGTGGTGACAACAAAAGGTAAGGATGGATCAACTACCTTGAGGACTGGGTATCCTATCAAAGCCCGCTTTAACTTCATCCAAATGGAGACGAACTGGGCCTAATCGAACCCTTCTCAAGAAGTTCGTCTAATTGCTTACGCAACTCCTTTAACTCCCTTGGGAACATTCTATACACAACTCCCTTGGGAGTCCTACTGCTAGGCTCTATCTCAATACGATGCTGGATTCGCCCCGACACTACTCCTGTCGGCGGCTCAGACAAATGGGCATATTCTTCCAACAACTTGGTAATGCGAAGGTCGATCGACTCTTCCGTTTTAGGCTCAATAACTCGCCTAACAGAGGCTACAAAAACTTGTTCTTCTAGCTGCTCCTTCTTTACTAACCTTGTGAATGCAGGAGTGTTGAGGCAGCAATGTGCTAAGGGGTTATCTATCCCTAACACATGAAACAGGCGAGCCGTCTTAACTTCACCTGATGGGCTAGGGAGCCTGCATTCGTGCTCTCTCAAATGGAGTGTGGCCCCTGCTGGCTCTCCCCATTCCATTCCTAGGACTATATCAAATGGGAGATTTTCCTCTACGAGGAGAGTCAAGGAATGGAGACTTCACTCTACCTTCCCATCTTTCTCTAGGTGGAAATCTGCCTGGACTCCCTCGACGTAATCCTCGATTCGCATAGTGCGATTATCTACAAGGATACTGACTATAGGTTCTTCTAGCTTTTGGACCTTTGAGTCTAGCTTCAACTTCTACAACGCTTTGCGGCTAATGTAGTTGTGGGTGGCCCCACTGTCTATAAGGACCCCTACTCTGCCTCTAAAAATCTCTACAACTACTAACACTAGCTGTCCCTTTCCATCCTTCTTCATTTTGGCCCAAGCTGGCATCCTCTCTTTCAATTCTTATGCCAGACCTGTGAGGGAAGTGCCTAGAGAGACTCTAACGCAAGCAGTCTCTGGACAGCTACCTAGGCACTGGCCAGCAACCTCTTCCATAGACACATGTGGTTTGGGAGTTTCTCTGTGTTGCACGCACTCTTCTCCACATGGTCTCGGGGCAAGGGCAGTTGCAACCCCTACCGGCGGTTGCCTTTTGCTGCCTGTCCAGCAGCTCGCCGGGCATCTCTGTATTTGGAGCAGTATTTGATGATTTGCCCCGGATCACGCAATAAATACACTGATCCTGGTCTATCCTTTTCTGCCATACGGTATGTTCTAAGCCCAACTTTTCCCAAGGCCTGCCTTGTGGCAAGCCAGGGTGCCATTCACCCCTCCTGGGAGGTGATCGATTAGAACGAGGATGGTTTTGCGGGGGACCTTGACCCCTACCTCCATCTTGGCGGTTTCCTTTGCCGCCAACCCCCTGAGCGCCCCGCCCTCGACCACCAGAGGCCCGACCCCCTTGGCCTTGGCCTCTTCCTCTTCCTTGCGGCCTCCCTCCAGCCGCGACAGCAGCGTACGTCCTCCCCTGACCACTGCCATTGTCCTCCTCTTCTAGGCCCCACTCTATTTGACTATAGGGGACCTTTTCCATACCACCTTCATCCAACGTGAGGATCAAGTGATCCTTGGCCCGAACTCGGCCAGAGATGGTACAACCTTTCCAATTTTGCCCCTTGTCCAAGTCTTTGTGCCAGAAAGTAGACGTTGGCATGGACTGGGCTTTGAAAGTCACCACTTCCCTACTCAGGGTATCGTAGGTCATGGTAGACTCTTTGCTCCTCTCAAAGAAGTGCCCGCGCAAAGGCTCGGGCATGGCACTATAGAACAACTGGACCAGTTGGATCTCAGTGACCCCATGGCCAGGGACGGCAACCAACTCGTCCATAACTCTCGTGAGTGCCCTGACACTCTTCCACTGACAAGAGTGGATCGTTTGTAGCTTATCAAAGGCTCTAAGGCCCCGACTGGCATCTGTGAACCTTTCACACAACAACTTGAAAAATTCACAAAGGAGGGTGATGATGATGGAGTACGCTACCATATCATTTTTACATTGAGCGGTGCGGGCATGGGATCTAGCGAAGCTAGACGCTTCATCTTTGAGGGCATGGAAGGCAATGAGGACTTGCTCCTCAGGCAAGATCTTCTAGAGGTGAACGTAAGAATTAACATTCGCCTCCCAATTGTCGAAGTTTCCCCCTTTTTCCCACTATAGGAGTCAGGGAACTTTACTTTGACTGACTCTCTACACGGACGGACTTCCTCCTCCTTTGGAGCAGCAAGCTTTGCGCCTTCTATGGCGCCTGTGCAGAATCGCTCCGTGTTTTTCATCCTTCCTTTCATCTATGTGCCCACATGCATCATCATTTCATGTGCAAACTGCCTAAATCCCAAGCGTATGGATTGTAATGCTATATCATGACCCCTGACAAACTGATACTGTTCCTGTTGGGCCTTTGCCAGGAGTTCTATATTTCTAGCCATAATTTCCATCTTTGCCTGGAGATCCGCCTGACTTTCCATCTCCCTTCTCTGCTCATTCACCACCCTCAACTCTTTCTCCATCTTATCTGTTGTCTCCATCAATTGCCTCTTCTCTCTAATAAGGTGCAACTTCCACTCCGACTTCTTTTCTCCTTCTATTGTCTCACGGCGTAGGGGATTTCCTTCTGCCTCCAACTCCCTTATCGCCGCCTCCTGTTCTGCCCTGGGGACATACAACATCCCCTCTTTTGTTTCTCCCAAGGACAGATTTGCGACCCACTCTGAAACTTTCTTCTCCATCCACTCATCTTCGTTCTTCGTGCCACTTGTTACATGTTGTGCCTGCACACGAGGGCCATTTTCCAGGCCCTGCGTCCCTCAGGCTGAAAGCCTGAAAACCAGGGCCTACAGGCCCCGTGCCTGTTCAACTCGAAAGCCTGAAAAACAGGGGCCTACAGACCCTGTGTCATTTCAGACTAAAAATGGCAGTAGCCTTTTTAGCCTGTAACGAAGGGCCATTTTCGGTCTTTCATCAGACCGGCCTGCCCTGAAACTCAAGCACCAAACCAGGGTTTTAGGAATAGGCTATGTTTGGCCTGTTCCCACGACAGCTGCAGCGCCAGGCCCTGGCTCAGTTTGACATTGGCAAGAGTAGCCTCCTGGACTGCCCGCCCTGCAACTGCAGGCAGTCAGAGGCAGTCAGGAGGCAGGCCGAGGTAGTACATAGGGACTTCCCATGCACTTCACGGGTAGGCAGTCCACCATCTCCTTCTCACCCTCTCGCTATCTGACTTCACTGCATCAGCAGACTACGAGAGAGAGAGAGAGAGAGAGAGCTTGGTGACATTTGGATCCAGACTCGACATTGGACTTCAGACATTTTGAAGAGGGATTATTTGGGACTTGTAACGAGACTTGCTGTTGACGACTTTCCCATCTCCCCATTCCTCTTCTTCATCTGGTCCCCTCCTCTTCGTCTGTATATGTCTGGACCTGGCGCCTCTTTCTTGTGTATAGCGCCAGGCCCCTTCACACCTTGTGATGAGCATGATGTATGTTTGGTCTGCGTTGAAACATTGATTGGGCTAGTCATTAGTATTCTAGCATCCTGCTTCGCTATCTTGTACTACGTGAAAGAGGTCAGTCCCAGTCAGGTCAGGACTTGTATCTAAATCTTCCACTGCGCTATAAAACACCATTTTTGTATGTATCGGAATGCACATGGCTTGTTGAGATTCCACTTGCACTGCATTGTCCATTCAGTCCTTTTTATCAGATTGTGGAACCTCGGTTTGTATGTACATCGCCCAGCTGGGCATGTAACACACTTGATTCCCCTCTTTCCTTTCTGCCTTTCCTCTCTAAGGGGACTTTTCTTCCACTTCCACATCCTCTTCTTCTACGCTAACTTTTCCTCTTCTTCTTTCTTTAACTTCTCCATCTCCTCCTCCTTCGTCTCTTCACCTTCACCCCCGGCTATGGCTTCTTTTTCCTCCTTCGTCTCTTCTTCCTCCTTCACTTTCTTTCTTCCTTCCAACTTTGTCTTCTTGCTCACTTCAAGTCTCCCCCTTCGTCTTCCTCTCCGTGTCCGAGCTCGACGGTTATGGCCACCACCTCCTTCCTTGAACCGCACAACCAATCTTGTATCGCTCCTCTCTCTCTCTCTCTCTCTCTCTCTCTCTCTCTCTCTCTCTCTCTCTCTCTCTCTCTCT